CTCCAGCCTACATTACAGTGAAATCTCTATAGTTAGGCTTCCACGTTAGCCTGGTACCGCGGTAGTCTGGTACCCCGTTTGTCCGGTACCACGTTAGTCTGGTATCCCGTTAGTCCGGTACACCGTTAGCCTGGAACTCCATTAGTCTGGTACCCTGTTAGTCTGGTACCGTGTTAGTCTGGTACCCTGTTAGTCTGGTACCTAGTTAGTCTGGTACCCAATTTGTCCGGTACCGTGTTAGTATGGTACGCCGTTAGTCAAGTACCCTTCCTTCCCGTGATAATGGTTTGTAACGACACACAATGAAAGGGAGATAACTACGTCATAGTCGCCATGACAAGGTTCAAGGTTATTCCTACATATGCATAATTAACTGAATGAACAAGGCGACTACTTTGTTTCTTCCATCACTCGCGTTTTCCTAGACACTACAACACTAAATGTAACAGTGGAGCGACATAATTATGTTAATGAGGATGAATGTGCATGGAGGCCTTCATATTTCTAAGAATCAACATTACTCGTTTTCGATCCAAGAGAATTTTTGAAGTTTAGGTAAAATAAACTAAGACATATGACAATATATATCCTCTTGGGTCATGAACTTGGAAGGTAAGCACGGTGTTGACACGTGTCTATATGTTTCACCGTGTCTCGACCTCCAGTGGAGGTTTGACATCACATGGAGTTTCTCAAACACATCACCTGGTGGGAGCTCTAAAACATTCCACGTATTATAGATGACCCACATGGGTCTCTCAAACAAATCACCAGATGTTGCTTTCTAACACATTACTAAATGGGTCTTTCAAACACATCACCACATGGATCTCTCAAACACATCACCACGGTGATCTCTCAAACATATCATCACATGATGTCTCTCAAACACATCACTAAGCCACGTGTCTGCTTCTGACGGCTTCTGTCTCAGACCCTGCTTCCGAACGAGGGTTGACACCACGTGGGGCCATGTCTGGCACGACCCACAATGCATGGAGATATTTCCGTTCCCGGAAGAACATATGAAAAAATTCTTGCGAAGAACTATCAGCCATCTATTTACACTGTAGGCCGTCTACGATCACTTTCCTTTTAATACACAACCCTATGGCGCCATCACTCCAGGAAACGAGCTGGACGTCATGGCCATATTGTTCTGCTGTCTGAATGTACGTCCCGATATATACTGAACAAAACAAGTTAGGGATCATGAATATTTTAGGGATATTTTTTTCATGAAATCGTGTGCTCAGTCTTCGCTACCAAAACTATCCCCCAAAATATTCGTGATCCCGAGCTTTTGTTATTCAGTATATATCGTCTGTACGGTTGCCATGGACAATGAAGATCATCTTTATGTAAAAGTCAGAATTCTAATTCAGTGGCCGATTTCTTCTCTTATTCAGGGTGGATCAGCACCCTTCCGACACGGTGGGACGGTGGGACTGAATAATAATTCTACAGGGCACACAGCAACCTTCTCTCCCGGCCGGGTGTGTCAAACGGTCATGCGCACTGCATGACCTTACTGTGTACTGACTCTCCGCATTCGGTGTTCGCATCATGATGCGTACCATGGAGGATTTAGTCGGCCTGTTCAGCCTCGTTATGATTGTCTCCATCTCTTCCGGCGACACCTTCTTCGCAGACGCCATTTCACACGTCACGTCTTGGCGGTTCTCGCGCCTGTTTGGCCTGGTCAGTCTCTCGACCATGTGCTCCACTTCCGGTCCTTTGAGAGTTTTGAAGGCCGGAGCCCGGGGCAGCGAGATATCATACTCTGGTAGATACTCCTCAAACGTCTGCCTGAACCTGCCCGGCGGCCGCTTCTGTAGCTCGTCGATGCGGTGCGGCACGTCGATTCTGTTGTGTGCGAGCGGCGGGGGGTGCTTTCTGAAGCTCGTGTTTGAAGGACGTCCACTGTATACATGGCGAATGTTCTTCTGTAGGATGTCCGTGAACGCTAGAGAATGCTGGGCCATTGTTTCACCCTTCCAACCCACGGTGCGATCTCTCTCAAAGTTCTCTGTTTTAATTAGAACGTACACTGTGCCCACGAAGAAAGAAAAACTTTGGTCCTCTTCTACACAACTGTCCGTTCTGAGTACACGCTGGGAAAATTATGGACGGCGGCGAGAGGACGACTCCAAGACGACAACGTTGTCAGTATTGAGAGGATCTGTCAAGATCCCTCCAGGAAACATCTACGTAGAACTGTCGTTACTGTAGGCTTGGGGGCGCGACGTCACGTGAACTGACCGTTGTTATGACAACGCGTACAAAACTACCCCCGCGAAGCGCCGTCGTGACTCTGTCAGATTAATAAATAATTATATCACACGTCGCGACGAGCAATGACGGCACCGAGCAGTTTCAGCAGTTTAATCAAACACTCCCGACATGATGGATTTTGAACCACCGACTCGAGAAACCCCAACTGTATTCATGCTTATCATATCAAGCCATGATGCATGATTTGTTCTCGCTATATCTCGCGATATCTTAGTGGTACTATCAAACCCACGTGGTCCTTTCTTTCACTGATTTCTGACAAATACACTTTCTATAGACCGGGACTCGTCATGTTTAATTAATGTTTCGCCTCCAGATAGGTATCTCAGATCAGCAATGTGTCGACCACGTGATGGTAGACCTGTGCCGGTAATTGATTATCAAGTCCTGACAGGTGTCAAACCTTTGACTATTAATTATTTCAAGTTAGGCAAGCACGGCAACGCACGACTGCAGTAACAGTAAGAGATATACCTACATGTCTTGTGACGTCAAATCCTCGTTTATGGGCCATCATAATGTTCCACAATCACTTGGTAATAGACTGATGTCCTAATCTATCCTAGCTCGTTGTTTCGCGTGACGCTTAGTGCAGTCATGGTTACCGAACACAAACCAGTCGATCTCTTTACCCAACGCTTACGTATACCGACTCCGAGCCGACCAGTCCTTCTTTAAGCCGCCGAGCGCCAGACAGTATAACAACAAGTACCATCTTTTAACATCTTTTGGTATGACGCGGCCGGGATCGAACCTCGGACCTTCCGCTCTCCGGGCGGAGGCTCTACCACTAAACCACGGAGGCGGTCTCGTGCTGTGTGACATGAAGATATTCAGAGTAATCATCTTAACACATGGATACAATGTGTGAAGCCCATTTCTGGTGTCCCCCACTGTGATATTGCTGGAATATTGCTAAAAGCGGCGCAAAACAATACTCACTCACTCTTAACACAGACATGAAACTAAAGCAGATGATAGTGCAATACGATTTTAAAGCAGTGAGTGAGTGAGTGAGTGAATATGGTTTTACGCCGCTTTTAGCAATATTCCAGCAATATCACGGCGGGGGACACCAGAAATGGGCTTCACACATTGTACCCATGTCGGGAATCGAACCCGGGTCTTCGGCGTGCCGAGCTTTAACCACTAGGCTACCCGACCACCCCCCAACGCTTACGTAATAACCGAATCAAATGAGGATCAGATGCTTACAACGCCTGGCTGAGTGTGTCTCATCGTACTACATCAGCTTGGACCAAAGCTACCGCTCTAAGACCATCGGACGGTCTGGTCCAGACGTAATCACAGGGCGCCGAAGATGTAGGCCAAGACTAACTTTCTCTCTTGGATTCTCTTTCGTGGGTTGCCCAGTATTCTCTAATGGGTGGGTGATCTAGTGATCTCTTATGTGTGGTTGCCCACTGATTTCTTATATGTGACCTACAGTAATCTTTTATGAATTCGCTCGTTACGCCGAAGATCCGGGTTCGATTCCCGACGTGGGTACAATGTGTGAAGCCAATTTCTGGTGTCCCCCGCCGTGATATTGCTGGAATATTGCTAAAAGCGGCGTAAAACCAAACTCGCTCGCGCTCGCTTTTATGAATTCGTCGAGTTCCACCACAATGTCAAATGTCCAGGACCGGGGTCAAGATCCCACATTACTCTGACGGGCCATGATATAACTGAAACACAGCTGTTCAAATCGTCTATATATACCAACTCACTCATTCAATATCTCAACCTTTAAAACACACACACACACACACACACACACACACACACACACACACACACACACACACACACCATTATTCAAGTATGGCCTGATGAGACTCGTGTACGAGTTGAAAGCGCTAGCCAATTGAAACTGTTCAATCTTACTCCACTTATTTAATTATTACTATATTGTGCCTGAGAGTTAGAACGTTACTGTGCTTTTTTCTATATATATATATATAGATAGATAGATAGATAGATAGATAGATAGATAGATAGATAGAAAGATAGATATCCACAACACATATATTTCACCCTCTGACACATATCTCATCCTCTAACACATATCTCACCCTCTAACACATATCTCACCCTCTAACACATATCTCACCCTTTCATACATATCTCACCCTCTACCAGGGGCACGGGTAGCCCAACCATCTTAGGCGCTGCACATCACTAATTTGCGACTCTTATGCGAGCCAGTAGCCTATGATCATGGGTTCGAATCCCAAATAAGCCCTGAAGCTTGGTTTGTCACCAAGGTGAACGTCAAATACTTTCATCACTTGGGGTGTTCCTCCCAAACCGAGCTCCAAGGCCCCGATATAACCGAAATACTGTTGAATACTCACTCACCCACTAACACATGTCATTCTCTGACACTCGCATCTTTCTCCATCTAACAAATTTCCTATCCTATGACATATATATACCTTCCTCTAACACATATCTTACCCTCTAACACATATCTCGACCTCAACACATATCTTACCCTCTAACACATATCTTAACCACTAACACATATCTTACTCTCTAACAAATATCTCACCCTCTAACACATATCTCACCCTCAAACACATATCTCACCCTCAAACACATATCTCAGCCTGTAACACATATCTCACCCTCAACATATCTAGCTAAGCGCCACGTGTCCGGTTCCTGGCAACGTGAGATTAGCTACCCGTAGAGACAGATTGTCTTACTGGGCCAGTGAGGGTATACGACTGAGGGTGGAGCAGTGTTGATTGCTTCCTCGTGTACTGCCATGTGCAGCTGAAGTCGACAAAAGTGGACAAAAGTGTCTAGTCCGGTTGTACAGTGACTTAAACTTATTTGGTTCAAAATGGCCGCGTTCAGCACCTCGTTCCAGACCGTATTGGAGAACAATATCCGCCATATGTATTCCTACACCGGAAAGAGGCCTGTTCACCACCACCGCTATGTGCACCTGCCCCGTGTGCGCCTCCCTACCCCCAATAGGAAACGCTACCCTCGTCGCTTCTACGACTTCTACCCCGAAATGAATATCGGCATCCCCAGAGCGCCCGCATTCAGAGAGGTGGATCAGAAAGGCATGGACGACATCGTGACGAGACTTCAGACACGTATTACGTGCCAGTCTGAATCCGCTCGCAGACGCTGCAGGGAGAAACTCGGCACCGACAGGACGACGACAGTGACGAAGAATAAGTCAGCAGAGGAGATAGACGACATCACGAAACGTCTCCAACGCGGAACAAAGTGTTCAAAACAGCGCCACGGACAGCGGGCTGAGGCCAACTTGAGACTCCCGCCTATTAATCTGCGGAACAGTGCTGGACAGAGTGAGTGGGTGATGTGACCCTGACGGTCGTTACGTCACATAGTGCTGACCACACTTCTTGACCACGTTATGACAGATAACCCACCCGCCAGGTAGGCGATAACGTTACGCCGGGAATAACACGTCTATCGGTGTATAACCTCTGAATGCGACCATATACCCGTATCACAATAGTCTGTTTTTATTATATATCATTGGACCCAGATTGGATATACTGCCTGTATCAATGTTCACTGACAACAGTTGTATTGAAACTTGCAGTGTATACCACGGACCTAAACCAGGGTATATGCTGACTATACCCAGAGTATAGTAGTCTACCTAGAACACAGTATCTCGTTCACTCAGATCCGAGGATTAGTTAATACACTGGGAATAGGTTATACCCAGATGTACGGGCGGCCCAGTTGTCTAAGACGTCATATTTACAGAGTTGCGTCCCTTAGGTGAACCAGAAAACTGTGGTCGTGGGTTCTGATACCAGATCACAGTGTAAAACGTCAAAGACCTACAGGACTTTGGGCTTCCCTCCCACATCAGGTTGACACTGCGTGATAAAACAGAAATATTCTTGAAGGCGGCGTTAAACTCAAATCATCATCCTGTGACCGTATTTTTCGATGTTGGATATTTAACATCCGGACAATACGTTCATAATAAATACGTTTCTTGAGTGAAGCTGTATTATTGCAATTCTTCGATATATTGCTGCTTCAAAGCATGACTTTGACCCGTGCTCACTTTACTGACCAAACTGTATGGTAATGATAGACATAACGTTTTATGCAACCTTCCTTCATAGATGTCCAAGTAGGAGGGCTCAAGCATCACTGATGGCTGACAGAACAGAACAGAACTTTATTTACGCTCAGGCCGGGATCCTCGGCAAATGAGGTACAAATTTGCAGACAGTAAATACATCAGATGACAGGATGGTTTACATGGAAGATTTTACAGTTTTCATACTGACATTACAGAATGTACAGAGTTTCTTAATAACATTTATTTTTTTACAATTAAAAAGTTCTTTGAATTTAAACATATTTGGGTTTTAAGCATATGAAATTGGAACATATATTTTCCGTTGGGGTTTAAAAAAGGGCAAACTAAAATATAATGGAATTCATCACCAACGTGGCTCATGTCGCAGAGTTTACACGTTGGTTCATTGACAGTGATTTTGTACCACCTACCTAGTTCCATAGGTAAATGGTGGCATGAGGTTCTAAACAGAAGGAATTTTACAGCCAACGAGAAAGGGATAACTAATAAATACTTTTCAAGGACGAGTTCAGTTTTAACGCAAGTCATGGGAGCAAAGACCTGTGGTTGATCATGTGAGCATGATTCTAATCACACCAGTACATGAGTATATAATCAAATGTTTTCCGGGTACCAGATGAAACTGATGCAGTCAAGGGAACATCATCTTCATCAGATAAACCTGATGATGCTGATAGCCACACACCTGGCATTGAGGAGAGGGAGAGCGTCTTTTCCAGCCTGTATCATACAATCCAGTGATTGCCAAAATAAGCAGCGATCCATTTAATGGGGATCCGATGACACGAAATCACTAAGCCCTCTCTCACCACAAGCATAGGTTGTTGGTGACCTTTTTCCTCTTCGAAAGTTCCAAGGTTCAGGAGTGTTTTTGTTTGTTTGTTGTTTAACACCGCACTCAGCAACATTCCAGCTATATGACGGCAATCTGCATATAATCGAGTCTGGACCAGACACTCCAGTGATTGATATCATGAGCATCGATCCATAAAATTAGGATACGATGACATGCATCAACAAGCCAGTTAACCTGACAACCCGATCCGTTAGTCGCCTCCAACAAGCTTGGGTTGCTGAAGACCTATTCTAACCCGGATCATCACCGCTAGGTCAGGAGTGAGTTTGATGTAAATTATTGCAGTATATTTCTTTCATTTCAACCTATTAGAAAGGACAAATGTGACACAAAACGTGTAGCAAACCCACCCTATGTTGATGTAAGGGCAAGGTCCAGGCCCCCATTCAACAAAGCGCTATAAGTCAGTTTAAAAGAATGGGGTTACCATCACCTGAAGAGCTAAGATCGCCTTGTCAGTTTACGCATCTTCCAACAACCATCTGATCACAACAAACACATTTACCAACTGTTCAACTATGTTTTATTAAAGACTAAATATATCAAAAAAATTGACAAGCAATACAAAGAATGCATTTAAGAGTCAAAGGAAAATAGTGGCAAGCTAGACTGGGTGACCTTCATGTAACTACTGGGCACCAGGCTGAATATAGACAAATATCTCCTACACTGCCCACAATGTAACAACTGCTGTACACCCCAACTGCTTGATACAGCAACATTGTCAGACTGGGCATGGCATAACATGTATAACTGGCATGTCAAAGTACAAGGTTGATACAAGTCTGTATATCATAGCATATCAACTAATCCTACATAACAATCGTACAGAGATAGTGTGTTAAATCGTTAGTGTCACACACTGAACAAAGGAAGAGGTTTGCATATATCCAACATTGCAGATACTAGGCTGAAAGCTGTCCACCTCCCACCCCGACACCTCACCTCTCACTGGATTAACCATGGAGATGATTGTGCAAGTCTTCACCCTGCAGACCAGGAAGTGTGAGACTCTGGACAATGACCAGCATGAACAGAATGACATGTTCAGGGGGTGTCAAGATAATCACTTTATCATGTTTGGCATTTCTGCATCGATGCCACTTATTTAACATTGTTGAGGGAAAAAAGGATTTTGCCATCCTCAATCATAGAGGTGTGTCTTAAACACAGACCCAAGATGAGATGACCTGGCACCCAGGGCATGGAGCTGTGTCTTGAACACAGACCCAAGATGAGATGACCTTGCACTCAGGGCATGGAGCTGTGTCTTAAACACAGACCCATGATGAGATGACCTGGCACTCAGGGCATGGAGCTGTGTCTTGAACACAGACCCAAGATGAGATGACCTGGCACTCAGGGCATGGAGCTGTGTCTTGAACACAGACCTAAGATGAGATGACCTGGCACTCAGGGCATGGAGCTGTGTCTTGAACACAGACCTAAGATGAGATGACCTGGCACTCAGGGCATGGAGCTGTGTCTTGAACACAGACGCAAGATGCAATGACCTGGCACTCAGGGGAATAATTGGATCTGTCTACATGGTAACACAAACACTGTCTGAAAAGTACAATTGCTTATTCTGATGTCCAGTACTTATTCCATAAAAAGAACATGCTTTTGTTCAATTTTCATTCATCACAACAAAGACCATACAATAACACAGGACGTAACACACACAGTTATTGCTGATGTTTGATGGTCAAGGTGAGGAAGGAGAGAAAACCTGCCACAGACCTTGTAAATGGGATTGCAATCAGTCACACAAACATTCAACAGATGAGCTAAAATGTATAGAACAGCGAAGCAAAACATGATAGGCTAATGATATGCAAGCAAAACACTGACCTCCGATGTCCCCCAGAAGAATGGGGACATTTTTATGATAAATAAAGGATGAATATAAACACCTTGGTTGGATCTATGCCACTGGATCGCTGTACAAGTACGGTATTTCTGGTACAGGATCTCTACTGTAGGATCTCTGCTACAGGATCTCAACTGTAGGATCTCTTCTGTTGGATCTCTACTGTAGGATCTCTTCTGTTGGATCTCTACTGTAGTATCTCTACTACAAGATCTCAACTGTAGGATCTCTACTACAGGATCTCAACTGTAGGATATCTGCTACAGGGAAATATTATACAAACCATTTCACAGAAACTATATCAAATATATCAATAATCTTTCACATCCCAGCAACAAAGATGAATAACAAGAAAAGAATGGCCTGAATAACCCAAACGTTTTAATCAAGAGAGCTTTATGACAAAGATTTCATTTCAAACTCCTCAGAAACTCTGATACACAAGAAACATTTCTATTAACATGATTGGGGAGATCCTGAACTACACCTCGTGGATTTTTGCCAGGAAGCAAAGATAAACAGGGATGTCTCATGTCCTGGATGTCGGCCCAATGGCCACCCTGTGGTCGATGATGTTCGGCACTACATGAAACGTATCAATATTCATGTGTAGTAGATTACAAAATTATAAAAAAATATTTCGTATATCTGTGAGTAACAATTAACAATGGAAACATAGAGCCGAGAGCTCTGTAGCTCACCTGGCTTAATCACATGAAATGTTATCATGTTTCAGCTGATGATGAATTTATGTAGTCTAATCCTTCTAGTCTTTCTGTTGGTCAATGGTAAAGTAAGCATCTTGCAGCATAAATCTAAGTGAGTGAGTGAGTGAGTTAGTACAGTTTTACGCCACTTTTAGCAATATTCCAGCAACACCATTGCAGGGGACACCAGAAATAAGCTTCACACAAGTCTTAGTAGTGAGACTGCATTCAACAGTTTAACACATGCAGATGGGTAGGTTAACAGTTAATGAAAGACAACAGATCATGGAACAAGTCCAGGTGAGCTAACAATATAACAATACAATGAAACAATCTGTAGATGCTCTGTAAACTCCACATTGCTACAGAATCACCATGGTAACACATCTCCATGACAGCACTGGATTGGTGAGTTCCTGCAGGAGCCTCGGCGGCACAGGCGCCAGATGAAGTATGGTATGTCTGAGTTATGCCCTAGCATCACACAAGAGCGGGTGTTACAATACGAGATACTCTGGGGGGTACAGTACAGGGAAATTTGCAAATAATGTTCCATGTTACAAAGACAGACACAAGCTGTTATATCCTCCAGACCCATTTGCCAATCTCTCAGGACTGACCTAGTTCTTTGTCACAATATGCTGATCTTGCTCATTTAATCTAAGCATATGTGTATTTAGAGTAGTCCAAGGGTGAAATGTGGTCTTTACCTACTTGTGTGGTCAAATCTATACGAGGGATCAGTTTGTGTTATCATTACATTGATCTAAGAATCAGTTAGTGACCACGCATCCTGATCTCCCTCGACAGATACAGCTAACATGAACCAGAAGCACATCCACAGACTCAAAACATGACAGTTATTTCACTTATTTCAGTCTTGTATGTACACTGACTTCCTGTTACAATTCATTGCAAGTGTATTTCAAACATGTTTATAAAAACGACAAGAATTTCAGCAAAAATATCGTCAAAAATAAGTTGAAAAATTGCTTGATCTGTACAATAGAAGAAAATAAGTTCTGCACTATCCAGATAGGCCACCGAAAATGGGTGAAGACCGCCTTGACTCATAAGAGTTGTCATATAAAGGAACATATTACAATCTCGTATACAGCTACTTGTATGTGTGGAATATATCATACATCCTGGTCATCTAGCCAATGACATCACTGCATACTACACAGAAGAGCATGGCACAGCCTACATATCCTACAAAGAATATACATACAAATATCACCTTGATTTTCCTCAATAAACTTAACCTATTTTTAGTCCCATTGGGGAAGATCAGTACATGATTCAAAATTTGATTCTTCACTCACCCAATCCACCCATCTAGGTCTAAAAATGCCCAACCCCCACACACCGAAGTACCAACCTCATCACGGTAACACTTCGTTGTAGCAGGAGACCAGACTATGTAACCATGGCAACCATGTTGGTTTCCAAGCAACAGTTTCAATTTCACTGTCAACCTAATTGGCAATATCCCGGCGGTCCTACTCAGCTCTCTCCTATACTCACAATGTACAAACTTCCCTTATTTACATACAAATTGGCTTGAATCAACTATCACATCCTTCCTGGTACAAATCACTGATGATGAGAGTTAGCGCAGAACATCCTGATGTTAATACTAGTCATATATCCTACCTATAAAGGAGACATAGCGTTAAGACAGAGGATATTTGAGAGTTTAAGCGTTGTGTGGTCGTCAACTCAGGGCTTCTGGTGGCCAATGCTGAGGAACTGTGTGAGGTCGGGCTCTGTGACGTTGGACAGAACCTTCTGTATGCGCCGGTTGATACGGAGCAGTATACACATGCTGCTGATGGTTCCATACGCCTTGCTCAGTTCCCTCAGCGACGTCTGGTGTCGTGTGCACTGCAGCTTCTCATCCAGCAGCTGTGGAAGAAACAGACAACATGTCAGAAATAATAATCCACATGCAAAGTTGTTTTTGCCCCTACCAGCTTTATCGTTATTTATATGCACAGCTTAAGCAAAATATCAAGAGCCAACACAATTCTAAAATGAGCTACATTCAAAATAAACAAACTGAATGAGAAGGGTTTAAAGTGCCTGGATGTTGACGTTGACAGCACTGCAAACAACAGTCAATAACCCGCCTTTTTCTGTGAGAGAAATTTCTGCTCCCTTGACCATACTTCAGGAGTATTCCCATCAGGTCAGGAAGTGATTCTTTCCAGGGAATACCCCTGCCTTGTTTCTGTAAGGTGATTGGCTTCATACAATTGAGGCATATGTATTGTAATCTAGGCTTTGATAAACACTGGCTTCTAATCTAATCAACCTGGCAAATATCTCATCCTCAGAAAAACACACAAGCTTTATCTTTAATTTGCCAGTTATTCTGCACAGTGCTTGTGTCACAAGTCGGCTTCTCAGTGTGGAGCTCTATCGTTTTGGCTTGACAATTGAACTTTGCATGAAATAAAGGTGTGATGTCACAAACGAAAATTATTTTATGCATGATTGGAAAACACCCCGAACCGTCAATGTCCTGACCTTTTAAGAACTATTCGGTCACATTGTGGGGGGTCAGCTTTAGTGGGAAAAAAGTGTCCGAAGTGATAACTCATAGAAGTTTATCCCTTTGGTGAAATCAATCAGCATGTGGATAATGCCCCTGACAAGAGGTCAATGTTGTTTCGTGATAGACAGTAAGATAACGCAAGCTGGCTCAATATCAGGATTACCAAACTGATCTAATGCAAAGCTAGGAGAATATTGCTTCTGGAAAAGGGTAAATGCATTGTGTATTGTATCTTTGATCTTTGTATATACTATCATATTCATTTCCGTAGTTGTGACAGCCTATATATAACAAGGTAGATTTTCACAAATACCCTCCTTGGGTTTCCTACTAACACACAACATCAGTAGTTATAGAGCAGGCGTCTGCCCACCCACAAACATTGAACACTGTTACCATCCCGCAATACTGGATGTCTTCTTAAAACACACAACAGATGAGAGATCCTGACAACCAGATCATCAGCAACTTCTGATCCCAACTGTACCCTGGTTGAACTCACAGAGTGTCCATGGTAACCCGATCTAACCCACACCGAACACAAAACATCACTGTCAAAATAACCCCAGAACAGTGGTGGTGGGAGTCTACATATACAACGTGGAGGTCCTCATGCACAGATTACCAACCCAGTCTGTCAGTGTGTCTGTGCTGCCATGGTGATGCTGTCATCCAATCAGGGCAGAGTGGAGATGATGTGTTTCTGGTACTTCAGCTTCAGGACCAGCAGTGGCATCCGATGTAAACCGCATCCTTGCAGCTGGGTCAACGCGACCTCATGCTTCTCAACTCCATGAATCTTCTGCAGCTCCTGGTTACAGAGTTCACAGTTACCTCCCTTGGTTGTAAGGCTGACCGAGGTCCAACAATCCATGCAACAAGGAGGCAACAGGGTCCTAGAAGAAGCTGACCTTACGAAGGTCAAGGATGTCATGTCCTCAAAGGTCAAGGCATCCAGTCATCACACAGGTCAAGGCTGGCTATGATCTCAATCATGCAAACATTCCGCACATCTCCACATCCTACTGCAGGGCTGTTAGCAATCCATCATGTGGATGAGAAGTGATGTTAGTCTTCAACTCTGGCAAGTCAGTTATTCACATCATATACTTGGCTACAACAGTCTGGGCAACACAGTCATATGAGCTTGCCCATAGCTGATGGTACTGACATGCCTCCCATCAGAACAAACAATGCATGGCAGTGAGGTACAATCATGCATAATTTAACTTCATGCATAACACAGCGTCATGCATGGTGGTCTATGACTGTTTGAGTAAAATAACACCATGCATTGTCTTTGTATAACATCAATCTGGTCCAAAGCATGGCCTCCAAGGAACTTCAAGCATGGTCTTGTGTGTCACTGTGCATGGTCCTTGACCTTACAGACCCTCTACCTTACAGATATCTTCCTTTAATAGTTTGTAGAATGACTTTTATTTAACCGCTCTAGGTCTACGTGTAACATCATGCATGATCTTTGTGTATCACCAGGCATTAATCCATGGTCTTTGTCAGCGTGGTCTTTATGTGTCACCAGGCAGTGAGGCATTGTCTCTGTGTAACATCATGCATGATCTTTGTGTATCACCAGGCATTAATCCATGGTCTTTGTCAGCATGGTCTTTATGTGTCACCAGGCAATGAGGCATTGTCTCTGTGTAACATCATGCATGATCTTTGTGTATCACCAGACATTAATCCATGGTCTTTGTCAGTATGGTCTTTATGTGTCACCAAGCAATGAGGCATTGTCTCTGTGTAACATCATGCATGATCTTTGTGTATCACCAGGCATTAATCCATGGTCTTTGTCAGCATGGTCTTTATGTGTCACCAAGCAATGAGGCATTGTCTCTGTGTAACATCATGCATGATCTTTGTGTATCACCAGGTATTAATCCATGGTCTTTGTCAGCATGGTCTTTATATGTCACCAAGCAATGAGGCATTGTCTCTGTGTAACATCATGCATGATCTTTGTGTATCACCAGGCATTAATCCATGGTCTTTGTCAGCATGGTCTTTATATGTCACCAAGCAATGAGGCATTGTCTCTGTGTAACATCATGCATGGTCTTTATGTCTTCTAGCGCCTCACAGGCAGCTTGGGTTGTATACTCCCCAGGGAGCTTAGAATGACGGTTGAATGCACACTGATCCATTGACCAGGGTAATAAATGTCTAAGCGCTCAGAGCATGCCTATGCATGGAGTACAGCGCCACATAAATAGACTATTATTAGTACTATTATTATTTATGTGTCATCTTGCAGTGAGGCATTGTCTCTGTGTAACATCATGCAGGATCTCTGTCTATCACATGCTGGACACAGCCATGGTATAAGTATGACCTCTCTATAACACCAACAAAACACAACAGTTCAGAACAGAACGAGACGTCGAGGGATACAACCTTTCCCTCAACACAACATGCCTACCAGCAGTCAGATGACAGGATGTTTACATGGGCACAAATTAGTTGTCAATCTCTCTCTACAGGTTAGTCACATGACAAGGGCAGGTCACTCTCGTGTAAGTTGTAACAAAGGAGAATTAGTTACTGCAGTCACATGGATGTCTCATGTACTAGAGCAGCACTGTGTACAGTCCAACATTCCCCTCATCTTCTAGAATTAACCTCATGCAACAACTGAGATATGTAAACATAATTTACTGACATGATTCTTCTTCTCTTGCTTAGTAAGTTTCTGCTACAAGTGATTCATGGCCAGATCTAGAGATAAGCTGCTTATTTACGTAAAGTATGCATTAATAAATAAACTGATATACGCAGACAAATAAAATTCTAGCATATCAAATATGCAGCAAAAACTATAAATATGCTATTGAAATAAAATTAATGTGTATATTACAACTGTTAGTTAAAACGATTGCATATAATTACAACTGTTAGGTTTAAAAAAAAAAATAGTCTTGGTTCTCAGGCACCACCTGCATCATCATAAAGTTTGCCGCATGTTTTGTTTTTATTTCCATTTTTCATAAAAAAAACAAAAAAACTTAAATATTCCAGGCCCAATGATAGTCAAATAGTGTATTCCAGTATTTTACTCATCAAGGAATACATTTATGTAGGGAGGCCTTTTCCCGGGTTAATTGTACACAATTGTTTATTTGGTTACACAACTGTTTACTTGGTTACATACCCAGTTTGAACAACCAAACAAAAAGAAGTAAAAAATGACACCACCCACCCGCACTATATTTTCAAAAACCATTGCCTGAGAACCAATTTTTACAATTATTAAAGCCTTAGATGGCATGATTGTGTATCAGCCAATTGCAAAATTCACTTACCAACACTAATATTTGGAAAAGTTTGTGCATAAAACATACTGATAGATGCCAATTGAAAAGCACATCGTGCCTAGTCGGTGTATATGTTGTATCTTGAATAGTCGCTGATTGGTGATTAAAAAAATACTGCCTTTCTTACTATGCTAAGTTTTGCAAACAAAAATGCTTCCCGGAGAGATAGTTTTAAATGATTTAAGGGGATTGTTACGAAATTAAGTTACGAAGTTAAAATACCGAAATGTCAAGAAACAGGTAGGTAAAACCTATTTGAATACCCTCTAAAAATTGTGGATATCCAATAAAGATCAACCCCCTGAGTAAAATACCCAAATAACCAAAAGCTTATGGAGAGCTCTACATGGCAACACAATAGTTACCAACTTTCATAAAATGTTTGACAGACCAAATACCTCATAGAAATACTGGTAAGATGTCCAATCTCATTAAAATCAGATCTTGGTTCTTGCTACCACTTAACAAAGATCTGAGGACATCCCATTAGGGGTCACGTCAGAACGACCTTTTATCCAACCAATCAGAGCATGGCTTACCAGTTCATGAAAGTAAACGTGGGAATGTGATTTCTAAACACTGGGTATTCCGAACGATAGTTATGGGTTTAACGACTGAATCCATACAATCTAGACCATCTATTAGCAATTACAGAATGTTCTTTTGTTCAGGTTTAAAATTTTTAATCGAGAATTTGTCACATGTTTCGAAGCGTAGTCGCCAATTTGATATTAGTGCCGAAAAGCACTAGAAAGCTGCCTTCTGACTGGCTTATGTTGACTTCTTGTCACTAATGTCAGTCATTCCATTGGTCTGTCAAAGTTCAAACAAGTGTGGTCTGACGTGACCCGTAATGGGGTGTCCTCAGTCCTTTGTTTAGCGATAGCGAGAACTAAGATCTGATTTTAATTAGATTGGTAAGATGCCTCAATAAGACAAAATGGGAAAATAGTTCCAACCATAACCATTATAAACTGTGACTACAAGCTTGACACTCACCCCATAGCCCTCCTTGGTGAGTTCCTCATTGGTTCTGTGGATGAGTCGGCCGTTCAGGTACAGCATGTCTGCCCCCAGCGGGCTCGGCATCTGCAGGATCTTGTAGTTGAACGTCTTTAGGGCATCCATACGCTGAAACACCGGACATGACAAGACATGAGTAAACTGTGAAAAAGCATGCAATCTCATTTCTAATGGTCAACGATCAATAACAGATTAGATCTGGGTGAAGAAATAGGTGGACAGTAATGTCAAGGTTCCAAGTGTAAAACACCTGTCGCCATGACGACGACGGTGCTGGGCACCATCTGACCAGGGCCGACCTCCTGAATGGCCTTACCCCAGAGTGGGCGGAACCTACCTTCATGATAGTCCGTGGACCGTCACCCCCTGCAACTACCAGCTCTTCCCGTCCAATGACATTGACAGCATCTTTAAGGTGAAGGACATCCGTGTCGCCGATGTTGATGGGGACGACATCGTAATCAATAAATGCTGTCGCCACTGCTGTTGCTCCTGCATTATTTGTTCTTTTGCCAACGCCGACAAAGATTTCTTTTCCTGGAAAAAAGCATGAAACATGATGAATATGTTCAGTACGATGTACATTCTGCAGGGGAAGGTGTCAGAAAGTGAATGCTGTTCAGTGGTGAGTGCTGTGCAAGTAAATAAGGGGTGGGTGTTGGGTGTGGGGTTGTGTCAATGTTTTCTTCTCCCCCTTCATTCTTGATCTGTTAACGTCAGGTTTCTGACCAGAATCCTAGTCTTTTCATGCTGAATTTCGAATACTGCAATGAATGAGTGAGTGAATGCAGTCAGCAATATTCCAACTAAATCACAGCTTTCAGTCATGCAAGCTTTACATGACACAGCGATGATGATGCCACGTCATACATTTAAACTTGGTAACTTATTCCCCTGTATATGGAGCTTGTTATCCCATCTACAGAGCCTGGTATTCCCCTGTATATGGAGCTTGTTATCCTATCTACAGTGCCTGGTAATCCCCTGTATATGGAGCTTGTTATCCCATCTACAGAGCCTGGTATTCCCCTGTATATAGAGTTTGTTATCCTGTCTACAGGGCTGGTATTCCCCTGTATATAGAGCTTGTTATCCTGTCTACAGGGCCTGGTATTCCCCTGTATATAGAGCTTGTTATCCCATCTACAGGGCCTGGTATTCCCCTGTATATGGAGCTTGTAATGCCCATCTACAGAGCCTGGTTTTCCCCTCGATTACGTTTCTAGGTTTGTCAGCATCATACCTGTACTCATCGGTTTCACAAAAGTGGTAAACGTCGGAGACCTGCACCACTTCAGGCTTTCCTCCCACATAAAGCTTACATGCCGTGATATAACTGGAACACTGCTCAAAGCAGTGTTAAACCCAACTCACTCACTGGTATCTATACTAAGCCTCATATTCCCCAGTCTACAGAGCCTGGTATTCCCCTGCAATGTGCCCACCTGTAAACAGAACGTCTCCTCCATCCAGCTTGGCATCAGCCTCTTTCATCTCACTCACGTTGAAGTGAAGGTCATTTTTCAGAACTCGGCGGATCTCACCAACCTGAAACATGGGTTGTGTGAAAATGAAGATACCACAAGCAGGAATTAATAAGGAGAATTCACAGTAATAAGATCTTTCTTCTGACAAGAAATATTATGGATGACTACTTCATTGTACACACACATTTCAGGGCTGTTTCGTCCCCCTTCAACAGGTGAATGGCCTGGACACATCCAGGCCCACATCCAAACGTCAGTATTCTGAACACTTTCTACCATGGGACAATACAGGGACATCCTTTCATTTTTCACAATGAATCAATTAGGTCTGTAATGACATGGATTGATGAGCTATGTAGGGGGTCTAAGAGGGCAGTGCCCCCGTCTCATGTTTCGTTTGCACCATATTGGCTCATTCCTTACCACTTGAGATCTTGTAGATTACAGAATGGGAAAAGTATGCCAACTCGCACTGTGAACATTCGTAAGTTCCGCAGACTGAAGTCATGGCTACCTGTAACCTAAGTAAGTGCCCGTCACCACGTTGTCCCCTTCCATTCAGTTCCATAATGTCTCAGTCATGACAAGCTAAATTTACACTCAGCTTAACTTAGCGCAGTTGGTTAGCTTGTCGGGGCAACATTCCCAATGTTGCAAGTTTGAATGTGACAGATTTTCACAAACACTTGTTACTTGTCTGAGTGACTGAGATGGAAGAAACGTTGTACTGGATTCTAAAGGTGATCCCATTTTTTATTATATGCAGTCAATGTCATCCTCCTAGAAACATGTGAAACATGATAATACCAATCTGAATGCCTGTTAACGGGATCTAATTTTAGGTTAAATGTTCAAACAGGTCAAAGCTAAGTTATCAATGCTTATCATGGGTTTTAAATGTTAGTATTGTCACTCTGTCAACTCCACTTTCACATCTTTCAGTGGAGGTGCATCACTTCATTTAAACAGACACTGTCTTGGCTATCACAGTAATGCAGCATTAGAAATTGGCACTAGTCCTGTAGTCCTTGCCAAACTGCCCAATAGTTAAGGTATGATCATAAGATGATAAGGACTAGTAGAAATTTGCCATTTTTAAGGGTCTTGCTATATGCTATCATTGTAAGGACTAGTGGACTGAAACTGTTAAGTTTCTATCAGTGTAATGGTGCTCAAGTAGTGGTCAGTATGGGTAATATGCACAGATGATATACTGGTAAACAATGTATAGTATGACTCTATATCATCGTGGGCTCTATCTTATCGTGGTATTGTTAAATCTTGTAATCCACACCCCCGTCGACTGTTTACTTATGCAAATCTAAGGACGATATTTGATTGCTTGATCGAATACATGACTCGCGGTATGTGTCGCGGCTACTCGTAAGTATACTTGTTAATCTTTTTTATAAAATTGTTTCTTGAATTACCTCCATTTGAAACTGATTAGAATAAGAACCCATTTGTTTAGACGAAGCCCCTTGACCCAACCTAAGTTGTTTGTACACTGATTATGCATAGCCAAAACAGGAAGCGATGTAAACCACATAATCCACACATATCGCACGACAAAATAGCAATACCACGATAATATAGAGTTGCCTGCCCTTGAGATGCTAATGACAGGTACTTCTTTTACCAAACTCGGTAAAGAAAATCACCATCGATCAATCCTAATTGATGTGTCATAAAAGTTGAATAAAGAACAAGAAACATTTTGCGTATGACATGGTTAATGTGTTAATAAGCAATCGCCATTACGATCCATTTTAATTTAACTCCCGCGATAAATTAGCGTACCATCCTATAGAGCATAAATGTGACAACAACCCAATTCGGCAGTACTGCCAGTAGGGGCCTGTTGATAAACAGGAGAGATTTATATTCATTGTATTCATGTATTCAATGAACAGACTGACCTATCACTGCTTGTCAGTGCTCTTCAGAAACTAATTTATACCAGACCAGCAGACGGACGTCCTTAAATGTCAACTGTCCGGTAGTCAGCAGGTAGGCATTTCCTACTTGAGCGAGTTACGGACGCGCCTGACCTACTTTCACGCGGTGACTCACGGCTGAAGCTTACAAGCATAAAAACGGAAACAGCCACCCGCATATCCTACAAAATGTAACACCGCAAAGTAAGCAACAATTTGTAACACTCACCTCCCCTTGTCTCGAGGGATGGCCTGGCCGAGTGATGAGAACTGTCCCCCCGATCACAACAGCCGTGTCTTCGACAAAACAACAGTCGGGGTACTTCTCATCTTCCTGAAGTTCGATCAGGTTTATATCGCATTTCTGTAGCACAACCAGCAGTTCCTTGTACTCTTCTCTCGCCTTCTCTACGTCGATCTGTTCATTTCCAGCAGTAATTGCTTTATCTTTGAAACTGTTAGGAATACGAGACACAATCGCGTAATTGTAGTGAAAAGCCGCCATTTTGAATGTCCTGTATATGACGCTGACGAGTTTTCTCCCTTTTCTTCAAACCGGAAAAGCAGAGACAAGTGGGCGTGTCAAACTCGTTGATGACAACCGGCTTCAATAAACTGAACACACCTACAAATACTTGTCACTCACGCGATCGCCGATTCTGAAACTAAGTGAGCTACTGGATTATCGCTCAGATTGGGGACACTGCTGACTGCAATTCCGACGCGTCCTCGCGTTACTGACCGACTGCCGTGAAAGACAGTTATGACGACCGACAAGTACCCCTGCAGCCTCTGTGTTAGGAGATGAAGGAGTGTTACCACGCCGACACGGAAGGAATGCCGTTACGGTGCATGCGTCACGACATTCCCGCATCGATCACAGCGCAACTCCGCATGTCCGCGTTTACAGGAAATAAGACAAATGAAAATAAACGAAACCAGAACCGACCATGCTCACATACAATTAAAGCATTGTCACCTATATTTGGATATTTTTAGTGTCGCCTCTTAAACTTCTACAAGAAGCGTTGTTTTCTAATGATGTGGTAGAGTTCGTGAAACTTGCCCATTAATATTATCTAGACAGTTTTGATGATATAAAATGCAGCTTTTCCGCAATCATTTGTCTGGCTCAAAACAACTGTTTTGTGTGTTGTACATGTATCGTTTTAGTGGTATTCGCGCTGTTACTTGGGTATAGGGAAATGTAGGCAAGTAGTTTTGGCATATTGTGTGTTATTTTACTCAAATAGGATTTCAATTCTTTTGTCAAATAAATACTGTATTTTATCAATAATTACATATATTTTGCACCCCTACCCCCACCCCCACCCCCATATTATTTATGTCCTCCATATTAGATATACCAGTAATGCATTCATATCAACCATTAAACTTCTCATTGTAAAGCTTATAATACTGTTTTACATTTCTCGCTCATATGATCGAGTTAAGTTTTGCACAAATAAAAAACGTTAACTGATAATATTGACTGATATCTACGAAGCATTGTTAAATGAATAAAGGTATTAATAGATCTTGGGTGCCGCTGAAGTATTTCAGTTTATAATACAGCCTGTCAAATCTTTGATGTGCTGCGGTGAGCGTAACGGACGAAAGGTTAAAGTCTGTAAGCTGACATCACAATCACACTATGATGAAAGAGCATCTTATCGCTGTAAATGGCCTTGGGATCTCTCCCGGCCACCCCAGGCGATATGACACCAACTATACGTGGACACACCTGCCTTTGACCACATTAACCGCTTGAGGCCCACAGTATAGCGCGACAGTTCACCTTTTTAGTGCGACAGTTCACCTTAAAAGGTTTTCTTCTGCCCCAATCCGTCATCACCACAGATTATGAGTGACCGTTGTTTTACGATGCACGCGTATATCACGGCGACCTAGAAATAAATCTGTGTCGAATACCTATGGACGGGTCCGGCAATGAACAACGCATACAGCAGACACGTGACCCTATAGTGCACCGGTACTGCAAAGGACATCAGAGTGCATGTGCATGTATTTAGGACAAATTAACCGAGATAGTTTTTTAAGGCACTGATTAACACTACTAAACTATTTGCCGCGGGTTGAAATAAACTTTTTGAAGCGCGTGAAATATGCTTGCCTTGATAGGGATTAGCAAACTGAATGCAACCGTAGGTGAGGTGAGGTGAGGTGAGTTGAGGTGAAATGGGTTTTAACGTCTCGTCCAAGTTTATTGCACTTATATAGCGACGTGCATGCACCGTGAGTTTTATTGGTGTTACTACAGATATATCACAGTTGTGACAGAGTTCAGTGTATTGAACTACCACGTGAGTTATATGGGTGTTACTACAGATATATCACAGCTGTGACAGAGTTCAGTGTATTGAACTACTCCGTGAGTTATATGGGTGTTACAACAGATATATCACAGCTGTGACAGAGTTCAGTGTATTGAACTACCCCGTGAGTTATATGGGTGTTACTACAGATATATCACAGCTGTGACAGAGTTCAGTGTATTGAACTACCCCGTGAGTTATATGGGTGTTACTACAGATATATCACAGCTGTTACAGAGTTCAGTGTATTGAACTACCCCGTGAGTTATATGGGTGTTACTACAGATATATCACAGCTGTGACAGAGTTCAGTGTATTGAACTACCCCGTGAGTTATATGGGTGTTACTACAGATATATCACAGCTGTTACAGAGTTCAGTGTATTGAACTACCCCGTGAGTTATATGGGTGTTACTATATACATCACAGCTGGGACATATATTGTGAATAATATTATAAGAATTACCCAGTTATATTATTTAAATCTATTATGAATTATCCAGTGTTTAATATGATTTATCATAATAGAATGGGGAGATGGTACCCTAATGAGCAGAGTGAGTGGGTCTGACGCGGCTGTTATTCAGCTATATATCCCGGCAATATCACGGCTGGTGGACACCCAACTTTCCTGGGCAAGAGTGTTAACTGACTTTAAAAGTCCAGTTTCCACCCTTGCCGAACTTAGCTGGAATTCCTGGGCTCGATCGTAGCGCCACCAGTGGTTATGTCCCTTCTAAGCCTGTCCTATGGACCAATCAGATTCCATCACTTGCATTTGTTTCAAACAAAACGGTGGCGCCCAGTCAAGACGATCTTATCGATAATCAAGATCTATATTGTGATAAAACGGGTCTTACATCGCGAAGTGCATCAAATCACGTGAGCACCTTGATAAAAAACATGAAAAGGTTTGGAAAATAATCTGTTGACAACGACCTGGCGGTGCACATGCTTTGCAAATCCTGCAATCGACCGAAATCTGCGCGATAGTTTACGAACCAGATTTCGATTTCGTTGCGCGATTTTGATTGGACTATGCATAAACTCGTAAGTCAAGTCAAAATGTAACCCCATAATACCAGCCTAGTACGGCAAGGGTGGAAACTGGACTTTTATAGTCAGTTAACTCTCTTGCCTCGGGAAGATGGTGGACACCAGGGATGGGTGGATAGCAAAGGCGGATGACTACAAATTCGTTATCACTTTAAAATGTATTTGTTTTTGCACTCCGTACAAAGCATTTTTTTAAATTGCTGAAATATTAAACAGCGTTTCAGGGACAACACCCACGACAACTGAGAATCCGGACCGTGCCGGACTATTCCTGCCGGACAATACAACAAACAGTCCACGAGACGGGGCAATTAGTCAGATTGCTGCACCCACAAGAAGATGTAATGCACACACTATCGACAGCCCATTTCCTAATGCACGGGAAATAACACTCCAACATTCGATCATTGTCTCTACAGCTTCACCTATGTTGCCCTGCCTCACACCGGGATAATTGCCCGTCGACTGAACTCATCAGACAGGGGTTGGGGCACTGTATCTCTGTGTTCAGACAGGATGGGGGTTGGGGCACTGTATCTCTCTGGTCAGACAGGATTGGGGGTGGGGGCTGGACCTCTCGGTTCAGACAGAGTGGGATGGGGGACTGTATCTCTCGGTTCAGACAGGGTGGGATGGGGGGCTGTATCCCTCGGTTCAGACAGGTTGGGGCACCGTATCTCTGTGTTCAGACAGGATGGGGGTAGGGGACTGTATCTCTGTGTTCAGACAGGGTGGGGGTAGGGGACTGTATCTCTGTGTTCAGACAGGGTGGGGGTAGGGGACTGTATCTCTCTGTTCAGACAGGGTGGGGGTAGGGGACTGTATCTCTCTGTTCAGACAGGGTGGGGGTAGGGGACTGTATCTCTCTGTTCAAACAGGGTGGGGGTAGGAGACTGTATCCATCTGTTCAGACAGGGTGTGGGTAGGGGAATGTATCTCTCTGTTCAGACAAGGTGGGGGTAGGGGACTGTATCTCTCTGTTCAGACAGGATGGGGGTAGGGGACTGTATCTCTCTGTTCAGACAGGGTGGGGGTAGGGGACTGGATCTCTGTGTTCAGACAGGGTGGGGGTAGGGGACTGTATCTCTCTGTTCAGACAAGGTGGGGGTTAGGGACTGTATCTCTCTGTTCAGACAGGGTTGGGGTAGGGGACTGTATCTCTCTGTTCAGACAAGGTGGGGTGGGGTGCTGCATCTCTCTGTTCAGACAGGGTGAGGCGGGGGACTGTATCTCTCTGTTCTGACAGAGTGGGGGTAGGGGACTGTATCTCTCTGTTCAGACAAGGTGGGGGTTAGGGACTGTATCTCTCTGTTCAGACAGGGTTGGGGTAGGGGACTGTATCTCTCTGTTCAGACAGGGTGGGGGTAGGGGACTGTATCTCTCTGTTCAGACAGGGTGGTGGTAGGGGTACTGTATCTCTCTGTTCAGACAATGTGTGGGTACGGGACTGTATTTCTCTGTTCAGACAGGATGGGGGTAGGGGCACTGTATCTCTCTGTTCAGACAGGGTTGGGGTAGGGGTACTGTATCTCTCTGTTCAGACAGGGTATGTGACTGTATCTCTCTGTTCAGACAGGAAGGGGCACTGTACACTTTCTCTGTTCAGACAGGGCGGGGGTAGGGGACTGTATCTCTCTGTTCAGACAGGGTGGGGGTAGGGGACTGTATCTCTCTGTTCAGACAGGGTGGGGGTACGGGACTGTATCTCTCTGTTCAGACAGGGTATGTGACTGTATCTCTCTGTGCAGACAGGAAGGGACACTGTACACTTTCTCTGTTCAGACAGGGTGGGGGTACGGGACTGTATTTCTCTGTTCAGACAGGGTATGTGACTGTATCTCTCTGTTCAGACAGGAAGGGGCACTGTACACTTTCTCTGTTCAGACAGGGTGGGGGTATGTGACTGTATCTCTCTGTTCAGACAGGAAGGGGCACTGTACATTTTCTCTGTTCAGACAGGGTGGGGGTATGTGACTGTATCTCTCTGTTCAGACAGGAAGGGGCACTGTACATTTTCTCTGTTCAGACAGGGCGGGGGTAGGGGACTGTATCTCTCTGTTCAGACAGGGTGGGGGTACGGGACTGTATCTCTCTGTTCAGACAGGGTGGGGGTAGGGGACTGTATCTCTCTGTTCCGACAGGGTGGGGGTACGGGACTGTATCTCTCTGTTCAGACAGGGTATGTGACTGTATCTCTCTGTTCAGACAGGGTGGGTGTAGGGGGACTGTATCTCTCTGTTCAGACAGGGTGGGGGTACGGGACTGTATCTCTCTGTTCAGACAGGGTATGTGACTGTATCTCTCTGTTCAGACAGGGTGGGTGTAGGGGGACTGTATCTCTCTGTTCAGACAGGGTGGGGGTACGGGACTGTATCTCTCTGTTCAGACAGGGTGGG